TTTTCTAAGCTCCATTTTTCTTAAAACAACCTACACGAACTGTTTACATAACCATACATAAAGAAAAATGTAATCACATAATTGGATGGGATTTTGTTAATGTAGTTTCCTTGTGTTGTTTGGTCATTAAAAAAGTTCAAACGTAGAACAGGAAGTAGGTGGTAAGATTGGACAATTTCCTTGCCCTACCTGGCTAGCATTTTGGATATTCTATAACTTATTATCATTGTTGTCAGGTTTTTAAAATAAGAATTTAACTATTTAATCAATATAGTTTTTCATTCTCTAGATTCCCTAGCTAAATGAATTGCTTGTCCAAAGAGAAAGAGGAAAACAGTGGAGTGGTGTGGAGTGAAGTGGAAAGTAGCATTAAATTGAGAATCAGACCTGGATCGTACTCCTGGTTTTGACATTAATAAACCATGTGACCCGAGACAATCATTTTCTTTCTCTGAGCCTCAATTTCTTCACCTGTAAAATGAGGTGGTTGGATTAGATGATCTCTAAGATCCCTTCCAATATTCAATATGTCTAATTACTTATAATTTAAATACCTTGAAGGGCAGAAAACAAGTATCTATAGGAAGAGCAAGCTCATCCCTTCAATATACATTAGGGTACTTACTTCATTGATGCCTATCACCTTTCTAAATTCTCCAGAGCTAAACTCTGGAATAATGTAGTAAACTGCCAAGTAATATGGTAGAGTGGAAAATGTGCTAGATTTGGAGTCAAAGTATGTGTAGGTCAAAATCTCCAGTCTACAACCCACTAAGTAGCATAGTAGACACAGAACCGGGTCTAGAATCAGGAAGATCTGTGTTCAAATCTGGTCTCAGACACTTACTATTGTATAACCCTGGGCAAGTCTCAGACACTATTGTATGATTCTGGGCAAGTAACTTTTCTTTGCCTCAGTTTCTTCAATTACCAAATGGGGGTGATAATAGCACAGGCCTTCTCCAAGTCCTTAGAGAATCAATCAATCAATCAATAGGCATCAATGAAGTATCTATGTGCTAGACACTTCAATAAATATTGGGGTTGCAAAGACAAAAAAAAATAGTTCCTGATGTCAAGAAGATTATATTCCATCAGAGAGACAACATGAATTTATATATATATATATATGTATACATGTGTATATATGTACACATGTCATATATGTATATTTGTATGTGAATAAATAGAATAAAAATATGTAAATATGCATAGATAAATGCAAAATAAATACAAAGTAGTTAAATATAGTTAAGTGAGGCTTCATGTCAAAAGAGGTGCTTCAGATGAGTCTTGAAGGAAGTGAAGGATTCATTCGCTGAGGAGGTGAGGACCAAGTGTTTTTCAGGCATAGGGGAGCCCAGGGCAAAGGCACCAAAGACAGGAGATGGAGTGTTGTGTGTGAGAAATGGAGGAAAGGCCCATTTAGCTGGACCACAAAGTGCGAGATGGGAGTAATTGTCCAGTTGGTTTTCAATAATGAGATTGAAAAGATACGTTGGTCAAATTGTGAAGGCCTTTGTCCTTTGCTGCTAATTTTGGATTAATTACCATTGATCCACTGGGTGAATTATTTATATGCTTTATTTTGTCGTCCTGGTTTTGTTGTCCTTTTGGTCATTTTAGTGCCACTTTACACTGCTCCCAGAGGGGAGAAAAAAAAAGATGGATGACTTGGAACATGAGTGTATGCTATTCACAGGCAAAAATTTCCACAACGTATCCATCTACCTCGGGCATCTTGCCATCTGTCCCACCTCTGTCTCCCTCTCTCCATCTGGTATAGCTTCCTTCTAAGGACCATGACCTCTCCATCGGGAAGTTAATCTACTCAGTTTTGAAGCTTTACCCCGTCTTTGAGCTGTCCTAATTGGTGAATGAAAATTCCTCCTCTCCCCACTATAGGTAGCCAATCACAAACCATGTTTCACAACCTTTTCCCTGAGATATCTTGCCATATGCCAGCCTCAGCAGGTGCCTCAAGCCCTCTTCCTGGCTCCCAACTGACTTATGGTTCCATTCATTATTCCAATGACGCTGCAGACCCAAATTCACTTCCTGATCACCATTCCACAATTAGAATATAAGCTCCATGAGGTCAAGAACTGTGGCTAAGTAAAGTAGGGAAACTAGGAAAGAGCCAAAAAAGATGCATTAAAACACCTTGAAACACAGATTCAGACAGTGAATAACAAATAGACCAGTACACAGTACATAGGTACACAGCCTTGAAGACTGGGGCAACTAGTTTTTTTTAATTCAATTTTATTTTACTTCAGTTCTGACTTCTCTCTCTCCCTTTTCTCCCTCCCCATCAAACTGAGTGGGAAATCTGTCTCAAAGCCAAGATTTCAGTATGACTTCAAATCCAGTAGACAGAGAGTAAAACAGGCAATGCAGTTAACACTTCAAAAAAATTTTTGTAATAAAAACAAAGGCAGGGTGGCAAAGAACTGGAAATTGAGGGGCTGCCCATCAAGTGGGGAATGGCTAAACAAGTTGTGGTATATGATTGTGATGGAATACTATTGTGTTATAAGAAATGATGAGCAGGTTGATTTTAGAAAAAAACATAGAAAGATTTGCATGAAATAATAAAGAATGAAATGAGCAGAACCAAGAGAACGCTGTATACAGTAAGAACAATATTGTTTGAAGAGTAACTGTGACTACTGTTATTCTGAGTATTATAAATACTCAAATCAACTACAAAGGACTTATGAAAGAAAGCTATCCACCTCCAGAGAAAGAACTGACAAAATAGAAGTATGTGTAGTATGGTTTTACGTGTGTGTGTGTGTGTGTGTGTGTGTGTGTGTGTGTAAAATGGTAGCCTTCTCTAGTGTGGGATGGAGAGGGAAGGAGGAAGACAGTTCAGAACTTAAAATATAACCCAAAAAATAGTTAATTAAATTTTTTAAAATGTTTAAAAAACAACAAAGGCAGGGGACATGTGCACAAATAGTAACCATCTAAGGTTCCACTTCTTCCATAAGGCCTTTCTTTATCACCCTAGCCCTTAACGATCACTTTCTCCTAGGATTTCAGGGAGTCTTTATTGTCTGTGCCACTCATTTGGGACATAGTTTATGCTAAGTTGTATTTTTATTAATCCTTTATACTTATAGTATTTTGGCTTCCCAACTTGATTTAAGCCCCTCAAAGACAGAGTAAGTGTCACATATTTCTTCTTGTTATTTTAATTCAGAATCCAGCATATTATTCATCTGAATGTCCAACTATAGATACGGATACTTAAAGGGCTGTCAATCCAATGTTATGTCATAATAAATTCATCAATACGGCATAGTAAATAGAATTCTGGACTTGGAATCAGGTAGACTTGGGTTCCACTCCCATGTAAAAAATTTACTAGCCATGTGAATCAGAATAAATCATTTAACCTTTTAAGCCCCGATTTCCTCAAAATGAGAATAATAACATCTACCTCACTGGGTTATCTATATGGATCGAATGAAATAATATGTGTAAAACAGTCAAGTCAGAAAGTGTTGGTTAAGTGCTTACTATGTGCCAGGCACTGTGTTAAGCTCTAGGAATATGAATACAAGTAGAAAGGAAGATAGTCACTGCTAATGGGGGGAAATAGCACATAAAAGGTAAGAGAAGACACCATGTGGGGCCATGGTAGAAGAAGTCTGGAGAATTAGGAGTGGGGGCTGGAGAGTCACTAAGACATGGCTAGCCTGGGTGCTTTCCTTAAAATGGATGTTCTGAAGGGAAGTAGTCAATCAGAGGGCAGCTAGGTGGAACTGTGGATAGAGCACCAGGCCTGGAATCAGGAAGACTTATTTTCATGAGTTCAAATCCACTTGCTAGCTGTGTAACCCTGGGCAAGTCACTTAACCCTGTTTGCCTCAGTTTCTTCATCTGTAAAATGAGCTGGAGAAGGAAAGAAACTCCAATATCTTTGCCAAGAAAACCCTAAATGGGATCATAAAGAATTGGACATGACTGAAAAATGACTGACCAACAACAAAGCCAATTAGAGGAAGGGGCTGCAGAGGTGGTGTGTATTTCCTATTTGAGAAATCTGGGGTAAAGTGCTGTTCTATGGGGAGGAGGCTTCTATGGCATGATAGAAAAAAATCCCAAGAATCAGGAATCCTGAAAAGGAATGAAATAATTGTCAACTTGTTAAAATACTTTGAAAGCCTTCAAGTTATACATACATACATACACATGTACACACACATATGTATATGTATATGTATATGAGCTATTATGGTGTTGGTGATGATGATGATGATAATGATGATGATGATGATGATGATGATAAAGAAGTCATCTCTAGTTTGGGCAATAAGCAACATTTAGCCACTTGGTTTTTCCTAGTAGATTTTTACAATAGGCTAGTCTCTTTTCTGTGTCCATGTATTTATCACTGAGGAAGTCCTATAGTTTTCTGGTGTTTGATACAATCAACACATCTGTACACTGGGGTATCTAGAGAATCCTACCATCAATAGACAATCCTTCTTCTACTCAATAAATGTTTGTTGGTGGTGATGGTAATATTTCAATACAAGTATAGCAATATAATATAAAAACCTAGATTCACAGAAAATATACTTTCTAATTAATATTGGAAAAAGTTGTTAAAGCAAGGGATACAATAAAATGGACTTTGAATCAGAAGACCTGGGTTCAGATCCCAGCTAGCTTCACTACTTATTACTTGCATTTTTTTCTTTTATATCTATATCTGTATCTATATCTATCTATCTATATACACATATATATATATTTACATAGATATATAGATATGTATTTTAGGGCTGTTTCTTTATATGCACCATGAAGAAGTTGAACTAGAATACTTCAAGGGGCTTTTAGTTCTAAATTTCATGATCCTAAGGTCACTTGCAGTAAGGAAACAGTTAAATAAATTTATTGCTGACTTTTAGATAGAGAAGATTCTTTCTTATGCATGTATTTTAATTTTTACATCATTTATTTTTGTTCATTTTTTTTCTTAGGGGAAATACCATGGAAATCCTATGCACATAGCAGTAGTTATTTCCAATTGTTTAAGAGAAGAAAGAAGAATATTGGCTGCAGCCAGCATGCCTGTACAGGTAATGTCATCACCTTAAACTCAACTCTTTTGAAAACCTAACTCAACAGTTCTCCAAACTATCCTTGCTTTCTTCTGTCAATGTTTATTCCTAGATAACCACTAGCCTAGATTTGGCCCTCATTACCTTACTCCATAACAGACTCAAAGAATAGTTAGTTGCTAGCAGGCAGTTCGGTGGCGCAATGGATGGAGAGCTGGACCTGGAGTCAGGAAAAATTCATCCTGAGTTCAAATCTGGCCACAGAAATGTAACTAGTTGTGTGACTCTGGGCAAGTTGCTTAATCCTGTTTGCCTCAGTTTCCTCATCTGTAAAATGAGCTAAAAAAGGAAATGGCAAATCACTCCAGTATCTTTGCCAAGAAAACCCAAAGTGAGGTCATGAAGAGTCAAACATGACTGAAATGACTGAACAATACAGTGGTTAATGTAGCAGGACGTTTCTAGAAGAGTACCCCCAAGGATCTGTATGGGCTAACTTTTTTATCAGTGACTTGGATAGAGGCATAGATTGCATGCCCATCAAATTTGCAAATAACACTTTAAAGGTGAAAGGGATAAACAACACATTAGATGTGAATCCCAAAGGATCTTGACAGGCTAAAGCACTAAGCTGAATCTAATAAAGACGAGATTTGATCAGGACAAACGTAAAGTCTTACACTCAGGTTCCAAAAATCAACTTCTTAAATATAAGATGAGGGAGGATTTGTTAAACGGTAGAGGTGTCAAACATGCAGCCCACCAGCCACATGAAGCTCACAGCACTCCCAAGTGTGGCTTGAATCAGATTAAAGTGTAACTGGGAAATGCTTAACAAAATAAATACAATACAAAAAAAAAACATTAATATGTGACTTTTTATATCAATAGGCAGCGTAAGGGATCCTTATGTATGGTTTGATGGCTCCCGTTCCTATTTGAGTTTGATAACACTGGCATGCTCTGAAAAAGATCTGAGGGTTTTAGCTCAATACAAGTCAATAGGATGATGTGACAGCCAAAAAAGCTAAGACAGGGGCAGCTAGGTGGCGCAGTGGATAGAGCACCAGCCCTGGAGGACCTGAGTTCAAATCCAGCCTCAGACACATGACACTCACTAGCTGTGTGACCCTGGGCAAGTCGCTTAACCCCATTGCCTAGCAAATAAATTGGAAAAAAAAACCCAACCAAAAAAAAAAAAGCTAAGACAGTCTTGGTCTTTATTAAGACGCATGGCTTCCAGGAAATGTTGTTTTGTCAATTAGTTGTGCCCAACTCTTCATGATCCCTTTCAGGTTTTTCTTGGCAGAGGTACCGGAGTGGTTTGCCATTTCCTTCTCCGACTCATTTTACAGATAAGGAAACTGAGACAAACAGGGTTCACTGACTTGCTCAGAGTCACACAGCTAGTAAGTGTCTGAGGTCATATTTGAACTCAGGCGCTCCTAACTCCAGGCCTGGCACTCTATCCACTGCTCCACCTCGCTGCCCATTTTCAAGAAATAGGTAAATGACAGTTTACCCTCAATGAGCCACCCTCACTGAGACTTCATCTGTAGCATTTTATTAAGTTCTAGGAGCCATAGATTAAGAACATTGAGACACTTGGAGAGTGTTCAGAGAAAGGTATCGTGGATGGTGAAGGGCCTTGAATTCTTGACATTTTAAGATCAGTTGAAAGAACTGGGAATATTTAGCCTAGAGAAGACTTTGGAGGGACATGAAAACTCTCTTTAAGTATCTGAAGGGCTATCAGGGGAAGGAATGATTAGATTTATTCCATTTGGCTTCAGATGGCAGAATCAGGAGAAATGGGTTGTGGCTGTAAAAAGGCCGTTTGAGGCTTGACTTCAAGAAAGAATTTCTTAACAATTTTTATTGCTGTTGTTCAGTCATTTTTCAGTCGTACCCAACTCAGTTTGGGGTTTTCTTGGCAAAGATACTGGAGTGGTTTGCCGTTTTCTTCTCTAACTCATTTTATAGATGAGGAAACTGAGGCAAACAGGGTTAAGTGACTTTCCCAGGGTCAGGTGGCTAGTAAGTGTCTAAGGTCAGTTTTTAACTCAGGAAGATAAGACTTCCGCTGCATCGCATAGCTGCCCTTCCTAACAATTAAAATGTTCTAAAGAGTAATAACTTTAAGTGGTGAGCATTCACTCTTTGAAGATCTTTAAGTAGATCCTGGATGACCACTTGTTGGGTATGTTACAGGGAGAGTCAGGAATTCCTTAGTTCAAATCTAATCTTAGACGCTTACTAGCTGTATGACTCTGAGCAAGTTATTTAACCTCTATCTGCCTCAGTTTCCTCAATTCTCAAATGGGGATAATAACAGTAACCTCATAGACTTGTGAGAATCAAATGAAATAATATTTATGAAGTGCTTAGCATGGCACATAAATATTCATTCATTCATTCATTCATTTATTTATTTGTTTGTTTATTTATTTATTACCTACCCTTTTCTTCCTTCCCTTCTTTTCATGTATGGATTGGATTAGATGACAGCTGAGGTCCTTTCCAGATCTAAAATTCTGTGGTTCTGTAAGGCAGAGAGATCAACTGGGAAGCCATTGCATCAGTCCAGGCAAAAGGTGATGAGTGAGGGGCAGCTAGGTGGTGCAGTGGATACAGCACTGGCCCTGGAGTCAGGAGGACTTGAGTTCAAATCTGCCCTCAGACACTTGACACTAGCTGTGTGACCCTGGGCAAGTCACTTAACCCCATTGCCTCACCCAAAAATTTAAAAAAAAAAGACAAAAAGGTGATGAGGGCTTGAACTAAAGGTGTGATTGTCTTAGTAGTGAACTAGGATCTGATGCAGAGGGCACTGTGAAGAAAGAAATGGCAAGCCCATTCTAAACTTCATGTCTTTCCTCAGGTTGTCCTCATCGAGAATATACTCCTTTTTTCCTTCTGTCTTTCTAAATATTACCTATCTTTCAATGCCCAACTCAACCTCCCCTCCTCTGACTCTTCTAGCCTTCATTAATCCCTCTCCTCCGAATTTCTATAGCACTTAGCATCTTTACCAATATAGCACACAGTCGTACATTGTCTGGTTCTCGCTAATATTGATTCGTGTGTATTATCCTTATCTCCTCAACTACATTGTAAGATCCTTGAGGGCAAGAGACTTCACTTCTCTATTTCTCACAGCACTTACCTCGGTGCTGAATATCTGGCAAGCACTTAATAAATATTTATTTTACATGTGGGTTTCTGAATTAAGCCTAAGAACTCTGGCTCCACAGACCCTTGCTACTTTTTCCGGGTAGAGTGTGGGCTGTTTGGGGTAATCAGTTGGGAAAGTTCCAGCCCCAGCCCAACCAATGTAAGTTCTCTGTTTATAGAGAGCCACAAATCCAATATCAAAAGCATTTCATTAAAACATAAAAGCAGTGTCATTAACAAGGGAGGATAAACTAGAAGAATTATATACTATTTCATGCAAAAATTGGCTCAGCCTCCTAAGACTCCAGTCCCTAAAACTGATCTTCTCAAATACCCCAGCACATCAGAAGAGGGGTATCGTAACTTCAGAACTCATGACCTAGTTGTAAAACACTTAGGATTTGGTGCCCTCGGCCTCATGAAGTTCTGCTGAAGCCTCTGGGGGTGGGCTGGTGATTCACTGAAGCTTCCTTTTCTGGCTGCAGGATCAATGTGATTCTTCCAGGACTGAGTTTGAAACTCCCATAGTTGCACTGCTTTGTAAGTTTCTCTTTTCTTATCTCCATTCTTTCCTGTGAGGCACAGCTGTTCTCCCCAGCTCTATGCTTCCTAAGACTGGCAGTCTAGAATTTTAAACTTCCTTCCCTCCAGAACAGGCCTCACCAATAGAGTCTTTGCCTAGTGATTTCACCACATTGCAGCCCCTACAACTTTCTGGAAATTGTGACCAGAGAATTTCTTGCAATTACCAATGCTCTCTGGGCCCCACAAAACCTAGGGAAGAAATCCTGCGGACATTTCTCCTGAACCATGCCTACTTCATTATTGATTAATTAAATCACATGTCTGCCCTCCCCTGAAGTCATTAAGTAAATAGTAAAATTAAAAAATATTTACACAATTCAAATCCAGTTACAAGGACTAATTAACTGAATAAATGTACCAAATATTTTTAAACCTCGGACAATGGTCTACAGCATTGGTGCTTTAATGATTTTGTGACAATGAAATTATAACTATGAATAATTTAGTTTAGTTAAAACTTTTTAAAAAATTTTGTTCCTATAGTATTCCACCAGTAAAATGAAAATATGTCTGAAACCTAGTTGTATAGTATAATATTAGCTCATAGGATGTCATAATTATTTAAATAATCCTGTAGGTGGCGCAGTGGATAGAGCACTGGCCCTGGAGCCAGGGGACCTGAGCTCAAATCCAACCTCAGACATTTGACACTTACTAGCTGTGTGACCCTGGGCAAGTCACTTAACCCCATTGCCTAGGTCCAATAAATAAATAAATAATTCTGAATACAGATTATTTCATTTTAATTATGGTGCTGTGGAAAGTGTGCCAGATTGAGTCAAGAAGGCTACATTCAAATATTTGCTCTCTTGCTTATTACCTTTGTGATAGAGGGTCAATTATTTAACTTCTCTGGGCCTCAGTTTCTTCTTCTATAAGACAAAGGGGTTGAACTAGATGGAAGGGAGAAGAGGAATAAGGAAAGCATTTATTAAGTGCCCACCATGTGGCAGGCACTGGGCTAAGCTCTTTACTAATATTATTTCATTTGAACCTCGCAACAACTCTGTAAGTTAGGGGCTATTATTATCCTCATTTTACTGTTGAGGAAACTGAGGCAAACAGAGGTCAACTGACTCACCCAAGGTCATACAACTAGTAAGTACCCAAGGCCATATTTGAACTCAGGGCTTCCTGACTCCTAAGGCAGCTAGGTGGCAAAATGGTTAGAGTACTGGGCCTATAAGTTGGGAAGACTCCTTTTCCTGAGTTCAAATCCAGCTTCAGACACTTATTAGCTGGGTGACTCCGGGTAAGTCACTTCACCTTGTTTGCCTCAGTTTCCTGAGCTGGAGAAGGAAATGGTACACCAGTATCTTTGCCAAGAAACCCCCAAATGGGGTATCCACTGCACCATGTGACTGCCCCATACTAGATACTAGTGGAATATAAAGATACTAATACTACCTTCAAGGAGCTTAGTCTAGTAAGGGAGATAAGATGTAGTGAACTAAATATTATACAAAGAAAGCTGTGGCAAGCACCATAAGTGCAGCACAAGAAGGGAATTTTAAGAGTTTAGGGAAGATAAAATAATATTCAACCCGCATGTCCTTTATTGGCAAACCTTTTCGCATTCCAACCTTAATAAATTTGTTATTCATCATATCTATTACTGGTATAGTAGATAGAATGCTGAACTTGAAGGTAGGAAGACCTGAATTCAAATCCTACCTTTGATTCTAACTATGGGATGCTAGGCAAGTCACTTAACTTTTCTGAGCCTTGGTTTCCTTATTTGTAAAATGTCAATATATATACCTGAAATACCTATTTTTGTAGACTATTGTAAGGCTCAAAAAAGTTAATTTATATAAGTAAACCTCAAACAACTATGGAAATACTAGCTGTAATTATTACCAAAGTGCTATACCAAATTTATTGATACCGTGTAACTGCACTGTTCTTCCAGGGACCCCTGGAAAAGTCTTTGCAGAGCTCTGTGGTTTCAGAAAGGCAGAGAAATGTGGAACACAAAGTGGCTGCCATCAAAAATAGTGTACAGGTAAGTAAGATACCTTTCTTATGTGGAAGACTTGAAGTTGCCCATATATGTCCAGATGTGCATGGCATGATAATTTTATGATAGTTTTATGGCAAGATAAACTTCCCTCTACCATGTAAGTACACTGATCAATATCAAATAAATTCTCCAAGGTAGAGAAAAAAAGACTCTTAAATTTCCTATTCAAAGTAGCATTTATTTGCTCTTTAAAGAAGTTAGAATTTTTCTGCAGTTGCAATGCCATAACTAGGAGACAGACCACCAATCAAGCAATCAATAAGCATTTATTAAGCACCGACTATGTGCCAGGCACTGTGTTAAACACTGAGGATACAGAAAGAAACAAAAGATAGTCCATGCCTTCAAGGAATTTATAATCTATGGTGAGGGTACTTCTTCCCTGAATTTGTTCTAAAGTTGCTATCCCAATCTAAGTAATGAGGGCACAAAGGCAGAGACTCACCCAATCACTCCCAAATTCCCCTCCAAAATAACATTAAAATAATGCCTCAAAGTGAATTCTGGAGTGACAGAACCAACAAAAGGACAGGGTGAAATAATTTTCTAGACCAAGACAACTTACAAGGTTGACAAAAAAGGACTATCTTTGGGGGGTATGAGTAGAGTGCAGTCCAGCACAGACAATGTCCCAGCAAGTCAGCAGCAGGCTTTGGCTGCAACTGAATCATCAGTGGAGGCTTCCAGAGCTCTCGGCCCACAGACAGTAAGGGGGTTAGACAGCTGGTCAGAAAGAGATTACAGGGGACCCTTTGCTGGTGCTGGGAGCAGGACCTGTTGCATTGCCCACACACACCATTCCTGGCTGCAATCCCAGGATGGAGCACTAGCAGGAGTAGGGACCCTCCTCACAGTTCCAGGGTAGGGAAGAGTGCTTGTGATAACTCACAGAGAGTAAAGATGGGAGACAAGACATGCCTTGCTTATTCTATTATCCAGTTTCTGCATGACCAGCTATATCATGGAGGTCTCTCTTCCGATGCTCAGGAGAGTTTGGAAGTTGTGAGGCCAGGAGATACCTCTCCTTAGATCATACCACCTTGGAAGAACTGAAAACTTACAGACCTCCAGAACTGGTTCTGAAAACAGAAGCACAAGAAACCTGAAGCTTGGGACAGTGTCCTCTCCACCCTTGGAGCAGAGCCCAATTTTAATATAAAGTTAAAAATCAAGAAATAGAGTGAAAAAAATGAGCAAACAATAACAGAAAAGAACCTGACCATAGAAAGTTACTATGGCAAGAGGGAAGTTCAAAACACAAACTCAGAAGACAATGAAATCAAAGCAGCTACGTGCAAAGCCTCAAAATAATATGAAAATTGGTCTCAGGACCAAAAACAAACTCCTAGAAGAGCTCAAAAATTGGATAATAGAAGTAGAGCGAAATTTGGGGAAAGAAATTAGAGTGATACAAAAAAATGATGAATAAAGAGACAACAGCTTGGTGAAGGAGGCACTTCCCCTGCCCAAAAAAAAAAAAATACTACATAAAGTAACACCGTAAAGAACAGTATTGACCAAATGGAAAAAGATGTACAAAAATTCACCAAAGAAAAGAACTTAAAAACTAGAAATGGACAAATAGAAAAAGAGGTACAAAAGCTCACTAAACAAAACAATTCCTTAAAAATTAGAATTGGATAAATGGAAACTAATGACTCCATGAGACATCAAGAAACAATAAAACAAAATCAAAAGAATGAAAAAATAGAAGAAAATGTGAAATATCTCATCAGAAAAACAACTGACCTGAAAAATAGATCAAGGAGAGATAATTTTAAAATTATAGGACTACCTGAAAGCCATAATAAAAAAAAAAAGAGCCTAGACATCATAGTTCAAGAAACTATCAAGATAAATTTTCCTGATATCCTAGAACCAGAGGGTAAAACATAAATTGGAAAAATCCACTGATCACCTCCTGAAAGAGATGCCAAAATAAAAACTCCCAGGAATATTATAACCAAATTCCAGAGCTCCCAGATTAAGGATAAAACATTACAAGCATCCAGAAAGAAACAATTCAATTTTTATGGAGCCACAGTCAGGATAATATAAGATTAAGCAGCTTCTATGTTAAAGGGTTGGATATTCTGGGGGGCAGCTAAGTGGCACAGTGGATACAGCACCGGCCCTACAGTCATGAGGACCTGAGTTCAAATCCAGCCTCAGACACATAACACTTTCGAGCTGTGTGACCGTGACCCTGGGCAAGTCACTTAACCCCATTGCCTAGCCAAAAAAAAAAAAAAAATAGGAATAGACATTCCAGAGGGCAAAGGAGCTAAGATTACAATCAAGAATCATTTATGCAGCAAAACTGAGTATAATTCTTTAGGGGGAAATAGATATTTAATGAAATAGAGGACTTTCAAGCATTTCTGATGAAAAGACCAGAATTGAATAGAAAATTTGACTCTCAAATACGAGACTCAAGAGAAAAAGGTAAACATGAAAGAGAAATCATAAGGGATTCAATAAGGTTAAACTGTTTGCATTCCTATATGGGAAGATGATACTTGTAACTCCTAAGAACATTGTCATTATTAGGGCAGTTAAAAGAAATATACATAGAGTGCACAAGTGTGAGTTGATTATGTTGGGATGATATCCAAAAAAAATAAAATTAAGGGGTAAGAAAGAGGGATGCACTGAGAGAAGGTAGAATGGGGTAAATTTTCTCACATAAAAGAGGCATGATAAAGCTTTTACAGTGGAGGGAAAGACAGAGGGTGGCAGACAATGCTTGAACCTTACTCTCATCAGAATTGGCTCAAGGAGGGAACAACATACATACTCAGTTATGTATAGAAATCTATCTTATCCTACATTTATGAGGAGGGACAGAATGAAAGAGAGAGAGAAAGAGAAGGATAAACAGGAGGGAAATAGGATGGAGGGAAAGTAATCATAAGTGGGAACATGAATGGAATGAACTCACCCATAAAATGGGAGTATATAACAGAGTGGATTAAAAACTAGAATCCTACAATATGTTGTTTACAATAAACACCCTTGAAACAGAGAGCACAATTAAGGGGCTGGAGCAGAATCTATTATTCTTCAGCTAAAGTTAAAAAAAAAGTAGGTGTAGCAGTCATGATCTCAGACAAAGCAAAAGCAAAAATAGATCAAATTAAAAGAGATGATCAGGGAAACTTTATTTTGCTAAAAGGTTCCATATACAATGAGGTAATATCAATTCTAAACATGTATGCACCAAATGTTACAGCATTAAAATTCTTAAAGGAAAAGTTAAATGATTTACGGGAAGAAATATACAGTAAAACTATTCTAGTAGGATAACTCAACTTTCCCCTCTTAGAACTAGATAAATCTAACGAAAAAAGGAAACATGAAACAAGTAAGGAGATGAATAGAATTTTAGAAAAGTTAGGTATGATAGACCATTGGAGAAAAGTCAGTGGGAATAGAAAGTAATATCCTTTTTCTCAGCAGTACACGTTACTTACACAAAAATTGATGATGTATTTGGATATAAAAACCTCAAACAAATGCATAAAAGAATAAATATTAAATGTATCCTTCTCAGATCATAATGCAATAAAAAATTATATTCAATAAAGGGCTATGGAAACAGACTGAAAATTAATTGGAAACCAAATAATCTTAAAGGATGAGACATGGGCCTTCTTCTAGCCCATGTCATGCTTTTAAATGAAGCACTCCGCAGATTCCCAAGACTCTAGAGAAAGCTTTAACTAGGTTACATAATATCCTACCTTTGGCTTTTCAATTATTTACCATAATACTAGAGGTTCCTTTTAATTACTGTCCATGTCAATTTATGTGTCTGCATGATATTTTCATCATTTAGCTTTTAATTAGCTTTTTGTTTGTATCCTATTAGGAAATACTTGCACACTGATGTCTGGAACTGGTCTGTTCTGTTTTAAATGTATTTTAAATTAGAGTTCTGGTAGGGAGGTGATAGTGGACAAAGACGTAGATACTTCAAAAAGCAGTTTGGAGAGAGTTTGGAGATAGGTTTAAAATAATTTTAAATAATTCAATGCCAATGAACCTTTATACAATCATGAGTTCTAAGGACCAGGGAAGAGAAGAAAAGTCAGCTGGAGGAAAAAATGTATTCCATATTGGAAGAATGTCAGTCAGTGATTGTAGATATGCTTGCGTATGAATAGATGGAGTCATCTAGTCACTGTTTTTCTCTTCTGGATGAGGGCAGTCCATATGCAGCACACACACACACACACACACACACACACACACACACACACACACAAAGAGATCCAAGGGGAACAGAGTTATTTCTGCTTTTTGAAAAAGGATAGAGAGGAGTTGATTAGTTTAGAGGAAGTACTCAGGGTCCTGATGGGGAATGAAAATAAGGCAACTTAATGCCTTCACTCTGATAAATTGCAAGCAGATAATTAGAAACTAGAGGAAAGCCATCTATAAGAGCTGAAACTCTAAAGTGTCAGAACTGTACTTAAGTCCCAAAATGCTTTTGACTCTAAGAAAAAAAATCAAGGTGATTCATCTATTTAGCTTTGATAATAAAATCCAGCATTAGATTTGTTGTTCAGTTGCCTCCAACTCTTCAGGACTGCATTTTTCTTGGCAAAGATACTGTAGTGGTTTGTCATTTCCTTCTTCAGCTCATTTTACAGATGAGGGAACTGAGGCAAACAGGGTTAAGTGACTTGGCCACACAGTCAATATGTGTCTGAGGCCCGATTTGAACTCAAAAAGATGAGTCTTCCTAACTTTGGGTCTGGCATTCTATCCACTGTGCCATCAAGTTGCCCACAGGGTTAGACTAGGCAATAATTAAAAACAGTTGAAATTTAATGAAGGAAGGCACCAAATTATACCTAAGTATTGTAAATTTGTTAATTTTCAAACAAGATATAATAAAATGTATTTAATAAGTTGAAAGAAAAATTAAATGTTGCAAAATTAGTATTTAGCTAAATTAGTATTTTAGTTTTTAGAGAAAGGTATAATTTCTCAAACATTTCTTAAGTACCTACTATGTTCTAGACACTGTGCTAATCCCTGAGGAAACAAAAAGAGGTAAAAGACAGTCCTGTACTTCAAGGAGTTCACAGTCTAATGAGGGAGACAATAATGGATACAAACAAGCTATATGCAAGATAAATTGGAAATAATTAAGAGAGGGAAGGCACTAGAAATAAGAGGGGCTGGGAAAGGCTTACTGTAGCAGCTGGGATTTTAGCTAGGACGTAAAGGAAGCCAGGGAAGCTAGTAAGTAGAAATGAGGAGGAGAGAATTCCAGGCATGGAGTACAGCCAGAGAAAATGCCTGGAGCTGAGAGATGCAGCATCTTATTTGTGGAATAGCAAGGAGGTCATTGACCCTTTATAAAAGAGTACACAGCAGGGAGAGAGTAAGGTGTTCCAAAGACTGGAAATTAGGAAGGGGGTTAGAGGGTGCAACGGATAGAATGCTGGACCTGGAGTCAGGAAGACATCCTTCTGAGTTCAAATCTGGCCTCAGACACTTACTGATTGTGTGACCCTGGGCAAGTCACTTAGCCCTGTCTGCCTCAATTTCCTCATCTGTAAATTGAGCTTTGCCAAGAAAACCCAAATCGGGTCACAAAGAGTTCAATGAGACTGAACAACAGCAACAACAAGCGGAGGATTTTGTATTTGATCCTAGAGAGGCAGGTCTGACATGATCAGACTTGAGCTTTAGGAAAATCCATTTGGTAACTGAGTGGCGGATGAATCGGAGTGGGGAGAGAGATGAGGCAGGCAGAGCCCCCAGCCGGTTATTGCCATGGTCCAGGGCTAGGCTGAGGTGATAAGGGCCTGCACCAGGGAGGTGGCAGAGTCAGAGCAGAGAAGAGGGGATATTTGAGATTTTGTGAAGGTGAAATCAATAGACTTTGTCAGAGTACTGGATGGGAGGAGGGGGTGGTGACAGGGTGTGAGGAGCTGAGAACAACAGCCACATTAAATGGCAGGCCTGGCCGGATGGTGCTGCCCTCTATAGTAATAGGGAAGGTAGGAGTCGGGGGAGGGTTTGGGGGAAAGATAGTGAGTTCTCTTTTAGACCTATTGAGTTTAAGATGTCTACTGGACATGTAGTTTGAGATGTCTGAAAGGCAGTTAGAAATGGGAGATTGGAAGTCAGCAGAGAGACTGGAGCAAGATAGGTAGATTTGAGAATTGTCAGCATAGAGATGGTAATTAAATTAAATAATGTATGGTGTTATGTGAAAAATGCTTCTTGATTCAGTTTTTTCATGGCTGAGCAAAACCCAGGAGGTTGGCCCATGTAACCATAGAAGTCAGATATCATTCTTCACCTAATGCCACTCTTCACAATTTTGAGTCCTAGGAGTAAATAGTCTCTAAAAGTATCTAAAAAGTCCAAACCTATGAAATGATGGCAAGAATTATAGGCCTTATGATAACAAATTGTTTATGAAGCTCTAAAAAGTTATAAATATCTTTTATAGAATAGAAAGGACAAAATGAGAAATTGTATAAAATAAAATTGAAAAAGTTCTATATCTTCAAAATTGTAAATCAAATGAAATCTTCTATGGCCTGTGGTGGTAGGTACTCTACAGTCATTCAAAAGATACTTTCCCTGCTTTGCAGAAATTCATATTCAGAAAAGATGACGTTAAGTGTTAGCAGACATAAAGTACAGAACTGTTAATAATTGCTTTCTTTTTTCAGTTTCTGAAAGTAAAACAGCTTCACACAAACACACACACACTTTACCAACTGAAAAGAAGAAAGTCTCAGCCTTAGTCACTTCTGGTCCATAACAAGTCCCTAAAGAAATTCAGTTCAACAAGCAATTATTATTTATTATCTAAAAGATACTTTGCTGGGTACTAACGAAACAAAGTGAATAATTAAGCACCTAGGGCTTCATGGGAGGGAGGAGAATGTAGAAGTGAAAATGTGAAAATTATTAGGTAATTAAGAAGGCTTTGTTGTGAATCAGAAACAAAAAGTAGTAACTTAGGAAAACTTCTTGGAAGAAATAGGTTCTTGCAAAGCCTTGCAAAGTAAGCAATCCAGCCAACGTGGGAAGGAAAATATAACCAGATTTTGAGTAATAGTAAAGGACAAGGCTCAAAGAGGAGAAGAGTTGATTGGGAAGGGTTGAATAAATTAATTTGACTTGAAAAGATGGAAAAGGAAAGCTTATATAAATTAAGGTGACATAAAATAGCTTATGCATATGTAGCATTTTATAAGCATTACCTTATTTGACCCTTGAAACAGCTTTGTGAGGTAAATAGTATTTTACCCCCTTTTTTACAGATAAGTAAATTGGAGCTTTGGCTAGATGAGTCATCCATGGTCACACAACTTGTAATTGTAAGAGGCAGGATTCAAACCTGAGGTTTCTCCTGATTCCAGGTCCACATGATCACACTGCCTAATATAAACTGAAGCAAATTGAAATGAGGGCTTAAACAAATGAGAATTTTAACTACAAAGTGAGAGAAAACCAGTGGAGAAATTGAGGAATGGGAAATGAATTCAAACTTATGGGTGAAAATGATGACTCTGGAAATAACATTTAGAACTAGACTAAGTAATGAAAGTCTAGATGCAGTGAGACCAGAAAGAGAAATGTTATGGACTGGAAGTGACTCAGGCAGGGGTTACTGTAAGAAAGGGTAGGATCATTCTGAGAAATCCTTTGTTAGAAGACTATCATGGCCATAGTCAGTTGTCAAAAATCTCTGGTTTTGTTGATATGAGAACTTATCAATTACCCATCTAACTCATCTAAAACTTAATGTACAGTCTTAAGAGAGTTTCCCAAGGGTCATAGTTGAAGTGACTTGTCCATCATCACACATCTAGTAAATGTATTAGATGTATACTGTCATCACCTTGATAGAAGACACATAGTAACATATGCCATAGAAAGTAAACTTCTTGAGGGCAGGGTCTGTTTCAGTTAGTCAATCCATTAGCATTTATCAAGCACCTTCTGTGTATCAGACATTATGTTAAGCTGTGGGGATACAAAGAAGGCAAAGGATAGACTCTGTCCTCAAAGAGCTTACAGTCTAATGGAGGAAACATCATGCAAACAAATATGTGCAAACAAGCTATAGACAGAATAGATTGGAGAAAAATCAACAGAGTGAAGGCACTAACACTGAGGGAGATGAGGAAAAAGCTTCTTGTAGATGGTGAGATGAGCTGTGTTCTTATGTTTGAATCTCCAGCACCTAGCACAGTGACTTATACATAGTACATGCTTAATCAATACTATTTAAATCTTGAATGGAACCAAATTGTCTAAGAGACACTTAAAATGCTGTTTCTTGAACCCACTCCACTGCAATACTAGACTGAATATTTTTTTTAAAGATGACAGACCAAGATGTCAAGTATTTAGAAGACCTGCAAGATGAATTTGACTACAGATATAAAACAATACAGACCATAGGTAAGTTTATTTTTTTTAAATAATTCTACAAAATAACACAGTGAATAGTCCCAGAGTTCCTTACATATTACCAGGATTACAGAAAGTCTACCATCCTATGTACTTTCTAGGATGTGGGAATCAGAGACAAATGAAAATATTTGAAAGTGCTAAGATTCCAAAGAAATATTTATGATGGTGAAGTAATGCTTACAGAATCTGTAATCTCATCAGTGTGACTACTCCCTCTACCAATGGAGAATACAATCCTCTTATACCTTAGTAAACAGTCTTTGTAAGTTGGTTGTAGCAAAAAAAAAAAAAAGAAATCATCAATATGTGGCACACCTGGGGATGGAATTCTGCATTTAGCTAGACCAGTCCTCTGATACTAAAGATACTATCTCTGGTTTGGGCCTATATGCAAAGCCTTTTCCACTTAGTAGGACCTTTTAGAGCTTGTGATCAATTGACCTAGCCTTCAGGAACCTAAGTCACCAAGAGACATCATGTTAGGACTTTAGTGAAAGTCCAAGGTCATATAGCTAGTAAGAGATAGAGCCAAGATTGACTCTTGACTTTTTCACCAACACTTTTCCTTCACCTAATTCAACCACTTGAGGGAGCTCATGAGCAACTTTAGGCACTGGGAGTCTCTGGGTTTCTGTGGCAGCACTAGTATGCCAAGTGCATGTACTTTAATTGAAGCCTTGCAGCTAAGGGGTTGGGGTGGGGGGGTGGAGAACCTGCCACATGTAGCCTCTAGGTTCTCAGTTGTGGCCTTTGACTGAATCCAGGGCCACACTTGAGGACCTAGAGGGCCACATGTGGCCTTGAGGCCACAAGTTTCGCACCCCTGAATGGGGTCTGAGTGTAAGTCCTGTGTCTCTCATCTCCTGTAAAAGTTAGATTTTTGAATTGACCACAGGAAACCTAGGAGAGGGGACCAACCACCCAAAGCCTCTTAGACTAAAAGAAGTTGTTCATCCCTGACTATTGATTTTCTGAATTCATGATTTCTTTTACAAAAGGGACAGAAAGAAAAGAGACAGAGATCCTTTTGCATGTTTGGTCCTAGATGTTTTTGCAAAATTTATGGAAGATAGCATCTGCCCCACTCTGATTCTGTGAACTTCTAGTCCCCAGACCAGGTCTTTTGCTAAGCAAAATGTCTCTCATCTCTGAAAAGAGGAAATTCCCACTCTCCTTTATCTATGATTGTATGTTACGTGATATGCATGAAACAGCTTGGGTCTTATGTTGGCCAACAATTTTTTTCACATTAAATGGCTCAAGACAAAGGTAAATAGTTGGGGAAAAAAGTAAAAACCCTGCCTGACACCTCATCCATCTAGAAATAAAGAATAAAGAGGAGTGAATAATTCAGAAATAAATGGGGAAATGACCCCCCTTCTCGCAGTATGAACAGGGGGAGTGGAAGAAAAGCATTGTATCTCTCTGCTTGTAATTGTTCTGTCCTCTTCCAAGCCTACTTGGATATGATTTTCAGCAAATAAAATGAATGACCTACTCCAACCCCTCTTCCAAGACAGCATAGAATCTCCGGAAGCCGGTTGCAGTGGCTTCCTTGTGTCTCACTTGCAACGGCTTCCTCCTTATGCTTTCTTCAAGTTTCTTTAAGGTCAAGGTCAGAGATATCAGACATGGGAAAAGAAGGGGTAAACTGTTTGCCAGCAGATCAGTCCTTTCCATTAAGTTTGTATCATTATCCACTTTGAATAGAACAAAAAGTCAGTTTGCATTGTGTAGTTTATAAATAATAGGTTTTTTAAACCCCAGAATACAATCAAATATACTTAGTAAAACTCAATGTAACCCAATCTTTATTTTAAGTCAAGGCATTTCAGGATTTTTAGTGCTCTTAGTCATGTCAAATCAATAATTACTTATTAAGTATCTATTGTGTGTCCTGGACTTTGACTGGTGGTATGATGGATACAAAACGAACATGTCATCCCTTATTGCTGAAAAAGAGTAGAGGTGCTGGCTTGTGGAAACTTCCAGATGATAGAATGCTGGACATGCTAGATTTTGTTCTTTCAATTATAAGGAAAACTTTATATTCATGAATTGTTAGATATTGAAATGGGTTATTGGAGGATTAATGGAATTTTTAAACAATCATCTTTAAGAATAGAATACATGCATTTTTTGGCCCATTTGAGTTTCCAGAAAGAATAGATGAGCCCTGGATTTTTTTTTTTACCTCCCAGGGTTATCGTGAGGCTCAAATGAAATAATATATTGAAGAATTAGGAAGCTTGAAAGGAAAAACTTCCCAATATAGTATCCAAAAGTGGGGAGCTGCCTTGGGAGGTCTTTCCTTCAATCTCTTTTCTTCATTCTTTCCTTCCTTCCTATCTCCATCCTCCCCTTTCTGTATAATTCCTTCCCTTCTTCCTTGTCTCTCATCTTCCTTCTCTCCCTCTCTTTGGTTCCTACTTTTTTTCCTCTTCTACCTTTTCCCCCCTCCTCTTCCATCCCTCTCTCCCTTCCTTTCTTCCTCCTACCTTCCTCAAATATTAAATGGACCCTAGGTGCAAAAAGATGTTTCCTCACATTTACCTCTTTTTGTCTTCTTCATCTTGTTTCTTTCCACTTCTTCTCACATTTCTAGACAAGAGAAGAAACTATTTAGGTCATAAGCCTAGAATAAATATACACTACTTTTGACTCTTTTCTCTTGGACCAGAATTTTACAGGGACCCACAAACAAGTATGATGAATTGAGACAAACTTACCCATGTCACAGGGAAACTTCACCATGGGGAGGATTCTGTTTTTTGTTTTGTTTTGTTTTTCTCTTCTTCTATTGCAGATCAAGGTGACAAAAACAGCGTTCTCGTGAAGCAGGAAGTTTTGACATTGCAAGATATGCTCAATACACTAGACTTCAAAAGAAAGGTTGGTAAAGAAGATTTTGCAGGAATTTTGGTGGTTGTTTTCCTCCTAAACCTCAACCCCACTTAAAGGAATGGTTGACCTAGAGTCCATGCCCTAGGCAAACCAGCCTATTTCTAGGTATGGTGTTTGTTCACTGCTTGCCATTTTTTTTTCTAAGTTTGGGTTTGTTTTCAAGGCTAGATGTATATAGTATACATATAGTATAGTATACATCAGTCAGAAGCTGATGTATATTTTATTGTTGGGCTAAATGTACTACAGCCATGTTTATTTTGAAGGTTTTTTTTATCAGTTTCTAATATATGCAATTAAGACTTAAGTACGTATCTGTTTTAGTTGCTGTATTTTATTTTACAGTATCTTGTGGGGAACTTAAATAAATATTTGATGAAATAAGTGTTTCAATATGTACTCAGACAAAAGGCATATCATTGAATAATTCCGTCAGTATCATTCAGTAGTTGCTGATTGAAATCATTTAACCTACCCTCAAGGTCCAGGAGGAAAGCTTTGAAGCTTTCCTTGAGGAATAAATAGGCAATAAATAAACATTTTATTAAGTCCCTACTATGTGCCAGATGCTGTACTAGGTGATGGGGATACAAATGCAAAAGTGAGACCTCTTCTCCCCTCAAGTGGCTTAAAATGTGGGATGGGAAAAGTATTCCATTTTCTAAGAATAAAAACATTTGGATAGTAATTGCTAACACTAATGCGGTGCTTTAAGGCTTGTACTTCATGTAAATTATTTCCTGTGATCCTTGCAACAACCCTGTGGGGTAGGTACCATTATTATGGCCATTTTCCAGAGGAGATAGGCTTGGTTGAGGCTGACAGTGTTAGTAACTTACCAAAGATCACACAGCTAGTGAGTGTCTGAAGAGGGATTTAAACTTGTCTTTTTGAGCCCGTATCTAGCAATCTATCTACCATGTCACACAGCTACTCTGAAATACCACTAGCATCAGGCATAAACCCAAGGAGGTCAAAGGCAGGAAGGTCTCAAACACACTGAAATATTTATAGCAGTGCTTTTTGTGGTAGCAAAGAATTGAAAACCAAGCAGATGCTCATTAGCTAGAGGATGACTGAATAAATAATAGTACAATGAACATGATGGAATGCAGATGCTCATTAGCTGGAGGATGACTGAATAAATAATAGTGCAATGAACATGATGGAATATTATTCCACTATAATAAAGAGCAAATATAAAGACTTCAGAGAAGCAGACAAAGACATATAAACAGATAAAGAGTGGAATAAGCAGAAACAGGAAAACAAATTAAGTCAATGAACATTTATTAAGTACCTACTATGTGCCAGGCACTGGAGAATACAAAGAAAAACAAAACCACAGTTACTACGATTGTGGAGCTGACGATCTAAAGGGGGAAGAGAACGTGCAGGCAACTATGCCCAAACAAGATATGTACAGGACAAATCGGAACTAGTCATAGAGGGGAGGCAGATTAAGATTGAGGAGAATCAGAATGGTTTCTAGTAGAAGGTGGAATATAAACTGAGACTTGAAGGAAGCCAGAAAAGCTGGAGGGTAGAGGTGAAAAAGGAGAACATTACAATCGTGCCAGTGAAGATGAATGGAGTTGGGAGATGGAGTGTCTTGTAGGAGGGAGAGCAATCAGGCCACAGTCACTAGAACATGGAGTACATGATGGGGAGGAGGATGTAAGAAAAATAGGAAGGTAGGAAAGGGTCAAATAATGAAGGGCTTTAAAAGGTAAACAGAGGATTTCATATTTGATCCTGTAGGTAATAGGGAGTCGCTGGAGTTTATCAAATAGGAGAGTGATATGGTCAGACTTCTACTTTAGGAAGATCACTTTGATAGATGAGTGGAGGATGGACTGGTGTGAGGAAAGATTTGAGGCGAGGTGACTTTACCCATGAGATGGATATGGGACATCCAGTTTGAGATATCCAATAGACATTTGAAGATAAAAGACTGGAGGAAAGAGGTAAGGACTGGGTTTAAACTTGTCTTTTTGAGCCCAAATTTAGCATTCTACCTACCATGTCACACAGCTACTTGGAAATACCACTAACATCAGGCATATAACCCAAGGAGTTCAAAGGCAGGAAGCTCTCAAAACACTGAAATATTTATAGCAGTATTTTTGTGGTAGCAAACTAGAAAAAAAATTCAAGATAATGATTATATATGACAACTAAGCCAATCTCTCTACAGATGAGGAAACTCAAAGAGGTGGAATGATTGTTTGTCCCAATGGCACAACTTTTTAGTGGCAGACAGGAAATCCATGAGCCTAAATCATGATGCTTTTACCACTACATGACCTTAGTCAAAGTATCTTGAAAAGTTAACTTGTATTGGTCCTAATTTCAATTTTTATATATACATATGTATGTGTATATATTTTCATTTAATATTACATAATATGGTTTAATATTATATTTATAATTAATAAAATTAAATTTATTACAATTTGAATACAATTAAATAATTGATAAATTAATTAAAATAATAAATACATTCTCTTTATAATTTAATCATATATTTACGTATAAATATTTTAAAATAATATTTGTTCTATTTTTAATAGAATGCAAGAGACTATTGCAGGGACTATTTTTGCCTCATCTTTGAATCCCCCATGCCTTTCACATAGTAGGTACTTAAAAATTTGTTGGATTGGATTGGATTGTATGTATGTAGGTGATTTTGTAATATTTAGGATCATTTTTAGCAAAGTGATAGAATATTGTTGGACCATGAGATTATTATTATTATACATTTTCCCCAAGGTAACATACAACTATCAGCATGATGCAAATTTGGTAGGGAGTAGAATATAGTATTTAGTCAGAAGGAAGCTAACAGTAACCTTCCCAGACATCTATTTCTCTAGTCCAAAGTAGACTAGACAAGTTTTCGCAAGTTGGATGACCAGTGACTATGATTTCTTCTCTTGACCAGTTGCTCTTTTTTTCAGGAAGTCCTCAGCAAAATAACACAAATAATAAGTGAAATTGACACCTTGATGAAGAACATGCTTCTAGAGGAGCTGCTTGATTGGAAGAGACGTCAGCAAATTGCCTGCATTGGTGGTCCATTGCACAGTGGCCTTGATCAACTTCAAAACTGGTGAGTCTCCCCAGCCTTTAGTTTCCACTGAAAACCACAGGAAGTCAAAAGCTTCAGAATGGCCCAGCCCATGAGAAACTGCAGGCTTAGCCCAGAACTGTGAATTCATTCAGCCTGTTGATGGTCTATTAGTAGCTAAGGAGCTCTATAATTGAAAACACAGAGCCAGAGTTTTCCAAGTACTTTGTAAACCTTCAAACACTATGCAAATCTAAGCTAGTTTGCAATGATTCTTCTGGACAAATCAAAGCATCATACATTGTTGATTACATCAAGAATTGATTAAATTTGGCACATGAAATATCAACACTGGCTGTTTCAAAATAACCTTTGGGACCACTAATAATCTTTTCTCTGACACATACCTTCTTCCACTAGCAAACTCTAGGGACTTTCATGAGGAAGAGATTTATTGATCTTATTCATATGGGTACTTCTTCCAGTTATGCCAAGGACAAGTCATCCCTGTCCATGTGACTCTTGTCACATGATTTGCCCACCTCCTTTATTGGTCATATGTCTCTGACATTCATTATAATGTTTCTTTTGTGCAATTCTTTATTAGTATTATAGGGTATCCCGAAGTCTTGGTGCAGTTCTAGGCTTTGCTTAACACACAAAGTGTCCCAAAAGTCTTAGTGTAGAGTTTAGCGCAAGCTCTTTAAAGGGCACTCTGCCCCCTTAACTCCACCTACTGACTTCCCTGGCTTCTTTTTAATTTATTTTTTTTTATTTTTAGGCAATTTGGGTCTAAGTGACTTGCCCAGGGTCACACAGCTAGTAAGTGGCAAGTGTTTGGTCTAAGGCCACATTTGAACTCAGGTCCTCCTGACTTCAAGGCTGATGCTCTATCTACTGTGCCACCTAGCTGCCCCCTGGCTTCCTTTTAAAAAGTCACCTTTTACAGGAAATCTTTCCCAACCCCTCTGAATTCTAATGCCTTTCTTCTGTTAATTATTTCCTATTTGTCTTATATATAGTTTATTTGTATATAGCTGTTCATATATCATCTCCCTGGTTCCTTAGGGCAGAGACTGTCTTATGCCTCTTTTTTTGTATCCTTAGCACTTAGCACAATGCCTGGCATATAGTAGGTGATTAATAAATGTTAATTGACATTGGTTGAAATTTAACTATATAACCTAAGATAGCAGAACTCATAATTTTTACTAAGGTATTCAGTGGGTGTTACTTTTTTTTTGCATGTGAACAAAGAACCACAGACCTCCTAATTGCGGCTATATGATATGAAATACTCTGCACTCATGTGTGCACCTATACCCTGTTGCTCTTTGCATTAGAAAGCCTCAGCTATAGGGTTTTTTCCTAGAAGTGTAAAATATAAGTATCCAATTGAAAGAATTATCAAAAGATGTAATAAAGAAGAAATGAAAAGCTCAGTCTAACCTCCAGATTTCTTCCTAACAGCACAATCCAATAAGATAGAAAGGATGAGTGCCAACTCAGGCAACATTCTGTAAGAGCTCTGACCTGCCTGCCCAGCTTGACAGAGAGAAAGAATTGGATTCATTTTAAAATATATCGATTTTCCTTCTACAGATTATTTTGCTTTTCTAACCTCTGGGAGCTTCTGCTGATACAAAAACAAAGTAAATATCCAAAAAAAGCCATAGAGGACCCAAACACATGCTTGTGCTTGTCAAAAATCTATGCCTGATGCTAAGTGCATTGGACTTGTGACTTCTCAGAGAGTTATGAGAAATGCAGCATTATTTAGACAGACATCATCCAGGCTTGATGAACCCCCTCTCCTTGGTTTTCTACATTCAAAGTATGCTAAGAGGCTTCTCTGGAATAAGAGGTCACTTTGGGGTACCATCTATAGTGTTTCCTTCACGCCAACCTTCAAGTTTTGACGTTTGTTTGGTTATTTTTCAGCCCCATCAAAATCACACAAACAGCTTAAC